TGATTGGCCTGATTTACTCAATAATTACTTCTTTATTATAAATAATAGAAAAAAATGGTTTAGGACTTTTCGACTCAGTTTTACTCCTTCTACCTGCCTACGAGAGATTGTACGGCAATTCTGGGACACCCTGTATAAATACTGTAATAAACAAGAACTTTTTGGATTCGTCTTGACCTTGCCTATCATATCGCGAGGATAAAAATATGTACTTTCAGATAAAAAAAAATTATTCATACCTCAGAAGAGATTATTCTATTATCAAACATAACATATGGATCGAAATCATACATGATTGTGTAATTTTTACACACTCAATCAAATTATTTCTTTGCACAGCAAAAAATGAAAGCAGGATGACTCGTTAAATTTCAGATTTTTTGATAAAAATGTAAAGTGTTTCTACGGGTTTTTACTTTAACAATCAATTCTTTAATAATAATATAAGATAAGAAGGAGCTGTTGATATCAGTCACATATTATTTTAGCTTGTATATATCATTTCATATCAATACAGCATCAATATTAACGAATCAGTGTAAGATTTGTTAATATAAGAAATACAGACTGAGAAAGTTAACAAAAAATTGACAAATTAACATTTTTCACGCACCTGTCAAATTCAATTCTCGGTGTCAAAGTGCGTTTTCTTCGGTAAGATGAATTTGTAATAGTGGATTTCGACAGATTGCACTTATCAATTCGAATCACTATTCGCGAGATGCGAATGCACGCGAGTATGCGCGCGAACTGTGCGCTCTGCACATTCGTATCGTCATATGTACAGACAATTTTCAATATGTATCGTGTCTTATATTTACATGTTATCGCACGTGTTGCCAATATTAGTCAGCGCAATCAACAACTTTCAAGGCCGTATTAAAAATTCATATAAAAAAGTCTTAAAGTTTTACTAAATAAAAACTAATGTTTATAAATAAAAAAAAGATCAGCTATATCATTAACAAAAATAAAACGGGTTTATTCAATATAAGCTTAATCAAAATAATTAAAACAGTCACTTTTTAATTATATCTGTTTACAAGTGCTACGTAGAAATATACAAAGTTTTTACTGCACAATTGGACCCATGTTAAACAAGATATATATCCAAGATATAGAATTCACATACATGATATCACATTTTTGGATAGATTAAATGTATGCAATTACAATAAGTCTAACTCTAAAAAGTGACATGTTGCTTACATTATTACTGGGGTATTTGTGTTATTCATATCTTCTCGCAATTGCGTTCGATCTCGTATTCTTGCGCACATTAAACTATATTCTAATACACCGATTCGAATATTCATTTCAGAAATTTCATTCTTCATTTTTGTAATTGTCTTCTTAATATTAATAAGCGGCGCTGTAGAATATTTTGAGGAAATTAGATTTAAAAAACATTTAAATAACTTAAGTGAGATAATTAAAGTTGTGTATACATACTTCCATCAGTCATGCTAGATCCTCTTTCATCCATTTCTTTCTTTACATGTTCTAACTCTTCTACCAATTTATTGAGAACTCTTGTTCGTTCAGTAACACCACCACTAACATCTCTGTATTGTTCTTTAACTTTTGATAACTCTTCCTAAGTTGATTTTGTTTACATAATAACTTTCTTTGCTTATATGAAGTATTAGAATGTGTACATAAAATATATGTATTACACTATAAATTTACCTGCAATAATCGATACTTTGTTAAAGAAGACTCAAGTTGTCTATTAAGATAAGTTTCCCTTGTTTTGATTTTATCTAAAGTATTGCTAATATCACTATAAATTTTATTTAAATGTATTTTTGTACTACTCATATCGGTCGCAATATTTGCACGCAATTGCTTCATTTGTTCAAGATGGGCTCTCCAGTCTCTTAAATCTATATGTAATATAGCAAATAATATATAAATATTTGAATGTATAAATCAATTTTGTCATGTAAAACTGTTTAATACCTGTCTTAACAGTCACTTTTAATCGAGGTAAGACTTTTTCCAACTCTAATTGCCACTCATCTCTGTTAGTTTTAGATTCCAAAATATTTTCTGGTTTTTGCGTTACGGACTACATAAAAAAAGTATATAAAAGTATACAAAAGAGCAACCACAATATAGTAACAATATAGCAAACCTCGAAATTAGTGACAATTATTTCTCTAAAAATACATTTTAGCTTACAAGATTTTGACTATAAAGTCTTGTAATATCGTCTATGTGTAAAATATCTTGATCATCATCATCGTAATCAGCCATCATTTCTTCTTCCACTTTCTCTAAAATTAATTCAGCATCATCATCTTCAATATCTGGTTCTGGTGTAGGCTCGTCAGGTGGAATGGTTCCTCTATTATTTTCGATATAAATTAGCAGTCGATCTTGTATAGTAAGAATCTACTAAACACAAAGTTATAAAAAGAAAATAAAACCTGTTACCTTTCTAACTTGAAGTTTTCCACTTTTAAAGCATTATCAACCAAATTATCTAAAACATATACTGCATGTTCGCCAATACCCTGTTTAAGTTTATTGGGTGGAAATTCTACAGTTATATTACTTTCCCTGAGATAATCCAAGATTAATGCTATTGTTGAATTAGGATCATCAGATTCCTGAGGCATCTCAAAATTTTTTCTACACTTCCTAATCAACCATGCAGCCAGACAAGTAAATGTGTAAAACTGCTCACCAGAATTTGTTGGGATTATAAAGTAATGCCTATTTTTAATATTACAATTAATGTTATATATATTACAGACTATACATATATAATTATAATAACATTATTATATAATATCAATATATTATATTAAATGTAATTAACATCAATTCAATTCAAAATTCAGTTGTATAATTTACACTGAAATAATAGGAATATATATATATACATACACAATGAAATAATATGAATATATATATATATTTTTATATATTCATTTTGCATAAACATTTGGCCTAAATAACTAATTTAATGTTAGTTTATATTAACATTGTATATCTTACCTGCTTATTGGTTTCATTTTTAAAGTTTGCACAAATTCTGCATCATAATTTAATAATTTTAATTTATCCAAAAGATTTTCCATTCTAACATTTATAACAAATGATGCAGCTGGAGCAAGCTCATCTTCCACAATAATTTTTTGAGTATCTCTAAACATGTTGCTCCCTATGTTTGATTACTTTGTATCTCACAATATAAATTTCACTATATAAATAAATTAATATTTATCATGTTTTAAATTAAGATTTTAAAATATATCTTTTAGTAAATGCTTAATTGCTTACAAAATTCTAGTTTACAAAGTTAAAGTTTAAAATGTACAATTGTAAATTATAAATTTTAAATGAGAAAAGAAAAAAAGGACACTTAAAATATAAACATGATCTATAAATATTGAATTAAAATACTTACAAAGATGAAATGACAAAAAGAAATTTGTCTTAATATATTTTCTTCTAAATTCTAGTAAACAATGGTATATTATCCGTGTGTTGTAATATCAACATTAATAAAAAACATAATTTAATTAAAAATCACCAGTAGGAAGAGAATATAAAAATTTAGTTACTCCTCGTAAGGGACGTGTTTTATTTTTTTTTTTTTATTTTTTTTAACGTGCCCAGTAACCGTCAGAGCGATTTTTGCGAACACAAGTTCTATTTTCCCTCCACGTTAGCTTTTATAAGGGACGTAAGCTTATTCTTAGGTTAGGTTAACTTGAGTTTTTCCATTGACACGTATTGAGCTGCGTTCCGTTTCACGCATATGCGCGCATTTATCTATACTATACGTAACGTGTACTATAGATACATGCGCGCATATGCGTGAAACGGAACGCAGCCTAACAGTATGTAAATAGGTCTAAAAAATCAATATGTCTAGAAAATCAATAGAGTGCTTTCCTTCATGGACATAGAAATATGAGGACAGAGCATAGTTGGATTGCATCAGCCGTATCGGTTGGATCTGTGTAGTTACGCTGTGAATATTTTTGGACAATTGTCGGTGTTTTATACCATTTTCTTTATTATTATCTGTTAACTAAACAAATATACAACTCCGTGGCTTGGTGTCAGGAACCCAATCTCATGGACCTAGGAATATAGAGACGGAGCATAGAGTTGCGGGGCGGAATGCAGGGAGGTGCGACGAAGTAACATGTGATTGGTTGTTGAAATATGATTGGTTGTTGTTGTGCGCAAGCGCAATGACATACTTGAATTGTACGAAAGCAACGAGAGCGGGGAAAAGGATACGCAACTTAACATATATTCAATACATAATATATTCACGATATAAATAAATAATTATGGTGCTGTGCTGTGTCCCAAATTGTCGCAATAGGTCAGACAATCAAAATTGGAAACAAACTACCAATACAAACAGAAATAAGAAAATTACATTTTCACATAATAAATTTGTATGTTATTTTAAAATAATAGTAGTCTAGTTTTAGAAAAGGTGTTTGATATTTTATTTGTATTCACATTTAGTTTTCCAAAAAATAATACTCGCAACTTGTGGAAAATAGTGTTATTTTATAATATATATTGTTGTTTTATAATATATGTATTATAATATACGTATTAGTAAATTTGATATAATATAATATAAGAGGAATATATATTTTATAATAGTTACTTTTACGAAAAAAAACTACTGGCAGTAATATATTGCGGCAGTGGTACAAAAAAATTACTGGCATTCTGTGTAATTGCCAGTAATATTCTCAGTGATTCCTGTAATACCTAATAATATTCTTATGTGATTGTCAGTAACATTTATATTACTGACTTTATTTATATGTAATCGGCAGTAGTTCTTTTTCGTAAGGGTATTTACTGTCTTTTTTATCTTTTATTTACTGCAACTGTTAACATTATATTAATTTATGTGCCCTATTGTAAAATTTATTGTATTTTTTTTTTTTACCTTATAAACGAATATGTTGATTTTATAACACAAATATATACAATATTTTTATAAAATATATATATATGTATAACATTTATTTTAACGGTTAATTAACATTATAACAGAATAGCTTTTACTCTTTTTATATTAATAATTTTTATTCTTTTTATATTAATTATTTGCTGACGATTGCCAAATCACTTGTAATCCAAATTGCTGCGTAAGATAATTTGAAATCTGTCAACCATCTGAATGATTAAGCAGTATTGAGCATGCGCACAATCGTAGCCAATAAAAATTAGGCACAACTGCCCCCCGCATTTCGGCTTCACTCCCCTTGCCAATATTCTGGGTCTATGCTCCGTCCCTATATTCCTATGTCCATGGCTGAAATTTGAGATTGGAAACGAGATCTAAGATTTGAGAAGCAACTATGAATTCAGGCCTAAGCGATCACTGATCTGCTCAGTCTACTAAACGCATATATGTAATACTCCTATATTGCTAGTACGGTGCCGACCTGAAGCTCACCGTTACGGTGCAGACAATATAGTAGCCTCTCTCTCACGCAAGGTCCAGCTGCTTTGTGCGCATGCGGTGAACATTCAAGCATGCTTGCGCATTTCTCTTTCTCGCGTTCTTTCTCTCACTTTCTAATGTTTTGTCTCGCTCGCACTCACTTGGTAGATGCGCCTGCGCATAATGACGCTCGACCATCTATGCCCATATTAGGACTTCGTGCGTCTCCCTTTCTCGGGCCTCGTGCCTCTCATTGCGAAGATACGCGACTAGCAATATAGGAGTATTACATATATGGATTTGACTTTGCAATTGGTCAATTCCACGAGATCTGTTACTTGCGTTCAATGTAGAACGGCCTTTGAGTTCCACTTTTGTGGAAATACGGCTAAAACCAGTGGCTGAAACCGTCGTAAGAAACTACAATGGCATGGCCGCTCTCAGGCTTCTCTCTGCTCCTACTCGCCCCAACGCGCCCTAACAGCGATTTCGGTAGCCTGCCCTAATGCGCACTGAGTGCGACTTTTTTTATTGAAAAAGTTTATTAAAAAAGTTTTGAAGTTTCATTGAAAAAAAGCGCGTTGGAGAGAATAGGAGCATGTTGGGGCATGCGACGCGAACAAACTTACTGATTCAATTCCGCTGCTTTCCTTTTAGAAAACACCGTCGACACATCCGACACAAATCACCACACGTCGCTTTTTATTTATAATTGTGGTTTGGTTTGGTTTGGTGCGCTTGTGGCTCTTGGACCTATAACGGTTAGTCCATACGCCATTCTATGACATTTATAATTGTGATTGACCTCAATCGAGACTCTTTGACTCTTCTCGAGAGGAGAGTCAAACTGTGCTCAAGTGTGTTAATATCTGTGTCGATTTGTGTCTTTTAAGGGTCGTCTACAATGGAGAGTTTTAGACCGTAATTATTCTTCTGTACTTTGTCTGTGATTGGTCAATTTCTTACTGTTACGGCCTACAACTCTCCATTGTAGACGGCTCTTAAAAGGAAAGCAGCCTTCAGCGCTTTGTGCTTATTGTCTGTGATTGCCTATTCTTCTAGATTTACAGCACCTGTGAAAGTATATGCTAATAACAAACAATAATCACAATTTATTTTTACCTCATCCTTTTACCACAATAAATGCATTCACTTAGGCTGTGTCTTTTAGAAGACACAGTCGACACAAAAATCATTCTGTCTTCGTTCAGTATTCAGTGAGAAACAAAGACAGAATGACTCATGACTCTTGTGTCGACTTACGTCGACTGTGTCTCCTAAAAGGAAAGCAGCCTTATTAATGAAAATTTATAGTATATATGACGCGAAATAAGAGCATTTATACTGACATATTTATACTGATAAAAGTAAAGTGAGAACACGGGCCAAAAAGCTGCTCAAGCGCTCGATTCTACTGAACACGAATAATATGTATAACTCACAATACACTGATATTTTCATTACACACATTTTTATTCTACACTTTAATTGTTTTTATTTTATTTTTTATATGTACAGTATTTTTGAAATCACTTTCAATTAATCATATTTGATTATAATGATTATACTTGATTACACGATTATACTCTTTTTATTCACGGGAAAGACATAACTTACCGCTAGATGGCTTTTACCTTAATAATTCACTTTTTTACATCTAATATTTCAGTTAATAAATATTCAGTTCTTATTATTGATAAAGAACGGAGTAGAAAATTACTTAAGTACATGATTTGCATAAATATATATAAAATAATTTATCAACGTACAGTCACATCGACGTTAACAAAAACTCGATTTCTCACAAGTGCTTCTGAGTATGTGTATTCCTTTATATAAAGCTACGAAGGAATGCATAGTGGAAGCGTGTGCTAGTGATAGCACAACTGAACATTGATCGCTACCGTCAAAAATCAGCAGATCTGCTCAGTAAAGTGTTATCACAACTTTGTCGTAAGCTTCTAGTAGCTGTGTTGTACTCCCGTTGCGCGTGCACTCCGTGGCTCGCTTGACGAACACGGATGTGCACGCCTGCACGGTTCGAAGTCGTCACATCGCTCCTCGAAGTACCGCGATTTCCAAATTGGGGGGTAATCGAATAGGTCAGACGAGGTATAATTTGTCGCTTCCATATACAGGCACTGCTTGAATAGTAGTTCGCCATTTTTGGAAATAATTTTTATAAAGTAAAATTTCCTTAAATTTTGTTAACTCTCCGGAAATTATTTAGAAAAGAGTAAAACATTAAATTAATACTGCTTACTTGGCTATTTACTATTTTTTTATTATGTCTTATAAATACTACAAATGTTATTAACATTATATAATTTTTTATTTTTAAATGTAAAAATACTTTTTGTATTACTAATGATTCTTATTTTTTTAGGCCTCAATTTTCTGCATCTCATTATTGATTTCAGAAGAAATTTGTGTAAAAAGCAGATTCCAATTCCAAACTTCATCCAGTTCTTTTACCACGTTTTCATTGTACAGTTTGTCTGCAAGAAGAGATAAGCTGACACCATCTAATGATGTAAGTGCAGCATTTTTCACTAAATCAGTATCTAATTCTTCATATGCAGTTACTCTGTTTGTGCTAATTCTAAAAATATAAAGTTTTGCTTATAATTTTAATTATATATTAATTTGTTATTTTTCTATATTTTAATGGAATAAATATGATTACTTACGTAGGAGCACTTGCAATCTCAGATGAAATATTATCTTCTTGAATTTCATCCAAATCTGGTATAACAGGAATATCTATAAACACAATAATAAAGTAGGACAGTCTCAATGTTTAGTTAAGTTTATGTGCAAGAAAGTCACACAGTGCGAAGATAATAAGAACAATATTGTAAAATATAATTAGTGTGAATAAACCTACCATCTTCTTGCTCCTCCTTATCAGTCATTCGTAAACGTTCCCTAGGTCAGTCACAATAACAGTTAGTCATATAAAAGATGTTGATTTTTTTTAAATTTATACTCACTGTTCAATGTTTGATGCTAGTTTTGATCTAAAAAATAAAAAAGACCGTCGATTTATTGTGTGTGTGTGTTAGTTATAAAAAAACATTTTTCTGGCTTATTCACATTTAAATCATGTTGAACAAAATTTATTTTATCTTATATTTTATTCTTTTATTGTGTTAGAGCTTGAGCACAATAGAGAAAATATTAGGAATAAGAATTATAAATAGAAGATAAATGAACTATACATGGAAAAAAAATAAAATATAAAACACATAGATACAGAAAGTATGTCATGGCTTCATGATATAGTCTATATTTATATACATTTATATGTTATATTTAATTTTTTCACATTGTGCATTAGGGCCTGAGCATAATAGAGAAAATATTAGGAATAGGAATTAAAAACAGAGGTTAAATGTAACGCACAATGCAAAAAAATAAACTATAACATATAAATACATGTAAATATAGGCTGTATGTCATGCAGCCATGACATACTTTCTATATTTATATGTTATATTTTATTTCTTGTCATTTTTTGTATAGTATATTTAACTTCTATTTCTAATTCTTATTTCTAATATCTTCTCTATTGTGCTCAGATCCTTACATTTAACCTTTGTTTTTAATTTCTATCCTTAATATTTTCTTTATTGTGCTTAAGCTCTTATAGAAAATAGAAAATTGTTTATTTTTGATTATACAAATTTCATCTCTTGTAAATTAAAAACTATACATACTTGCCACTTTTCAATTCATCACCCCAGCCAGTTTTTCTAGAACGAGGTGGAGCTATTGGTCTTTGTGTAGACTTTCCGGGTAATAAGGAAATAGGACTTTCCAGAACATCATCATCAGATTTATTTTCATCTGACAAGATCTGACCTGTGCGTCTACCTAAGCGAGGTATTAACTAAAAATAAATGGATACTTTTTACACATTACTTTATTTACTTTGACTATTTTTATACTTAACTATTTATCATTATATCGTTATACTATATATTGCTTTTATGTACAAATGTTTTACAATTATTTTAGGTACCAAACTTGGATAATCACATGTCATTTTTTGAAAGAATACTACTGTAATATAGGAAGAAAATACTTCTGAAATTACCTTTTTAGAAGTAATCTCGAGATCATTATTCCAGTCCATTTTGTTTGAATTTTTTAGCATAAACGCAAGCAAGTTATTTTGTCACGCTCTACTTTGGATTCACATATCAAAAAAACATACGGTGTACGGTATAAACAAGAAATGATAAGGCCTGTTCTACAATACAGCAGTCTAGTTTCCACCAAAACCCTCAATTCGGTTTTACTCAGATACTGATCAAATTTAGGCCGGTATTCATAGATCTTATATTTAAAGGGTCGTCTACAATGGAGAGTTGTAGGCCGTAACAGTAAGAAATTGACAAATCACAATCGATTATTCTTCTGCACCTTGTCTGTGATTGGTCAATTTCTTACTATTACGGCCTACAACTCTCCATTGTAGACGGCACTTTAAATATAAGATTTGACTATGAATATCGGCCTTAGTGTTCCGTTTCCATTGGAAGTAGAGTACTTATAGATCGAAGCGGAAGTGAAATCAGCGCAATTTGACAAATTTCCATCGACATTAAATTTGATTCTACGTCGCATTAAGAGCCGTCTACAATGGAGAGTTGTAGGCCGTAACAGTAAGAAATTTACAAATCACAATCGATTATTCTTCTGTACTTTATCTGTGATTGGTCAATTTCTTACTGTTACGGCCTACAACTCTCTATTGTAGACGGCTCTTTAGGTGTAAATTAACGCTTCGGTGGAAACTAGACCAGTGATGAAAGATTTGACCGACCAACACCAAGAGTGGGAGCCACTGGGAGACGCACACAAGCGAGAACCGCCGTTCGTGGTTGGTTGGTTGGTGCAGTTGTGGCTTGCGGGCTATAAAGGTACCCAGCAAACATCACGGGGTCGATTGTGTATCACGCAGTGTAGTGAAAAGTACAAAGGTGAGCAAATTTACTAAAATATCTATGATCTTATTGGTCAACAACTAGTAAATTTGCTCACTTTTATGATTTTCACTAGACTTCGTGATACACAATCGACCCCCACGTGTCAGTACGCCGTGAAAAGCATGCCATGTGAACAGTATGTTGGTACAGTGCTGTTCAGTGATGACACGCGTTGTATGCTAACAAAATGCATATATGTAATACTTCTATGTTGCTAGTACGGTGCCGACCTGAAGCCCAAATGTTACGGTGCAGACAATATAGTAGCCTCTCTCTCCAGCTGCTTTGTGCGCATGCGGTGCAAACATTCAAACACGCTTGGGCATTTCTTTTTCTCGCGTTTTTTCTTCGCGTTCTCTCACTTTCCAATGCTTTGTCTCGCTTGCACTCGCTTAGTAGACGCGCCTGCGCATAATGACGCTCGACTATCTATGCCCATATTTGGACTTTGTGCGTCTCCCTTTTTCGGGCCTCGTGCCTGTCATTGCGAAGATACGCGACTAGCAATATAGAAGTATTACATATATGATTTTAACTGAAAAATCCTAACTTAACCTAAAAGCAGGATTTAGTACTGATCAAGACTTGTGTGTTTGCATGATGTCGGCATTCTGAAGTGCATTCTGCTTACACAAAGCTCGCATAGAGTGTTGAGCATAACGTGTTGTCGCGATGCTTGCCAGATGGACCTGTATCTGGCAGTCACAGAGACAGCACGCCATGGAAAGCATGCTTGCATAATGCCGCCACGTTGCCATGATTTTGTTTGCTGGGTACCCAGCAAACATCACGTGTCAGCACGCCGTGAAAAGCATCCCATGTGAACAATATGTTGGTACAGTGCTGTTCAGTGATGACACGCGTTGTATGCTAACAAAATCATATCATGGCGTGCTGAGGTAAGCATTGCAGGAGGACCGACAAATGTCGCTACTTTTAATTTGGTGATTCTTCGGCAGCACAATCTATTCTTTCCCTCTGCTTGTCTTTCCCCCTTGTCTAGAAGTGTATCAGCTTCAGCATTGAGACCTTGTTTATGCAAGCAATAACCATTAACTTATTATTATACACATTCAGCAATTTTGTAAACAAAAACATTGAAATCGTATAGTTTATTGGTTTTAATATAAGATAACCGTTATTGTCCGCACAAACAAGGCTATACTGTGTTGTGAAAAAGGTGCATTTTGCAATTTGTGCTCGGCAAGTTGGATATATAATTATATTGGATTTATAAAGTAAGTATATACACACACACACATTTATAATTTTATATATTTGGCTTGTATACACATTTTAACATAAATATGTACACAACGCGTCACTGAATCGCGGAATAGGCGCGGGGATCGGGGGGCAAGCGGGGCGGTTGCTCGTAGCGCCAACGAGCGCCGTGCGAACTAACTAGTAGCA